CGGGTGCAGGGACGGCCGGCGGCTCGGCCGTGCCGCGGGGCCGCTGCTACAGCCCCGGGACTGCCGTGTCGCTGCCGTGTGGCAGCTGGGCTCAGCTCGCGGGGAAGTGCTGGTATCCAGCAGTATTGGGAAGGGTCCTGGCCGGCGGCGGCCCTGCCTGTGCCGGATGCGATTGGCAGCGTGCCTCCCGTGGGGCTGTGGGTGCGGAGCAGGGAGCACGGCCCGTGACCCGGCAGGGACTTGCGTTCCCGCTCACACCCCGCCGTGCAGGCTGGCCTGCAGCAGCCCGGGGCTGTCCCTGTGCCTCTCCTTCCTCCTGCTCCCAGGGCACGAGGCCAGGGGTTTGCAGGCAGGACTGGGGCGTGCGGCAGAGCTGCCGGGGTCTAGCGGGGAGGGAGCCAGCCCATCTGGCTGTGCTGGGGCAGCAGGCATGGAGTGCCAGGGCTGTGGAGGGCCGGGCTCTGCACCCCGTGGAGGGGGTCTGTCGCAGCGTTGTCCCCACGTGGAGCAGTCACCGCCGGGGAGCAGGGTGGCTGCTGGCTCTGGGACCAGCACGGTGGAGGAGACTGCCTGACTCGGGGACCTGCGGAGGGGGTGAGGTGCTGGCACGGAGGCTGGCCGTGGCAGACAGTGTCCCCTTGTGCTGTGCTTGCTGCTCTCTCCAATCACGCAGTAGCTTTTTTCCTTCCCTAGGGGCTCCAGGAGCCTTTCCCACTGGAAACTGTGATTTGGGCCCTGGCACGATCTGGTACCCGGGGCTCCGGTCCAGCCTCTGGTGGGTGCTCACAGCTCCCGGTGCCTCGGCAGGGCGGCCGAGCTCGCAGCCGGCCAAGGTCTGGTCGCTGAGGGGGAGCCGCAGCGTGCCTGAATCGCAGCACTGTCTGTGCTGCAGCGGGGTCTCAGGCGGCTGCCAGGACCTGCTCTCCTCCCCTGGCAGCGCCACAGGCTCCCTGCTCACTGAGGCCCCTGCTTGCCGGAGGGGGATGGGGCTCCTCTGGGCACTGCCGGCTCTCATCTTTCCTGCTGTCTCTGAAACATGACCAGATATTTCAAGGTCCCTGTGGAGCTCACACCCACGCTGTCGTGTCGTGGGCTCCTTTGCACTGGGTGGGTCGCTCCCTGCTCTTCTCCCCACCTGCCTTGCCAGCTTCTTGTGTTTGCCCTCCAACATGATGAGAGCTGTCCCCAGGCATCCCTGCGTGCAGGTCCCTGGGTGAGCGCTGGAGGTGACGGCATGCCCCTTTTCCTGGTCCCTGTGCCGGTTTCCTTTCTGTTTTGGAGATGAGTCACACCGGTGTCATCATGTTGTGCTCCAGAGGAAGGGCAGAGCTGAGCTACTGATGGTGACAGGCAGCACGGCACTTGGTACTGCTACCAGGTACTGCCTGGTCGATTGCTGACTGTGCAGATGCTGGGGCCTGGGGCTCTGCTCTCCCTGGCTTTCCTCCATCCAGTCTCTCCTCTCTCTCCCTCACACAGAGTCTGTGGGCATCTCCTCTGGTCTCCCCTTGGTACTGGAGAGGCAGGCTTCCCATCACGGTTGCTCCCAGCTCCGTGCCCAGATAGGCCTGTCCTGGTTGGAGAAGGGGCTCCTGTCCGCTGCTTCCCTTGCCTTGCCTCTCCCCTCCTTTGGTGCCCTTCTCCCCTCCCAGTTTGTCTCCCATGTTTGTAAGCACAGAGCGTAAGTACACATTGGGCAATAGTCAAGGTAAACAGTGACTCTCTGCTGGGGCAGGCGTGCCGGGGTACCCTGCGGAGCCAGCCACTGCCGTGGCTCCTCGGGCCCCCAGGTCCTGCATGGCTGTCCATGAGCTGCGGTGGACAGCGGGTGCTGTATGCCAAGGCCCTCTTACCCGGTGCCAGGGCTGCGGCTTGGTCTGACGGAGCCTGCCCTCCCTCAGTTTGAGGAGGGGCACCCCGGGGCCTGACCACTCTTCCATCTCTCTGCAGATTGTGCTGCTGTCCCGGATGGTCTGTTCCTGCTGCTGCCCTCCGGCCCGGCTGTCGTGGGCTCATCCCCATGCTTTCTTGGGCTGAACGGGGGCCAGCGGGGCAGAGAGGCGGGGGGGTCTCGGCGTGCTGACACAGGGAGGCCACTGGACCTGCTGCTCCCAGGACCCTCCTGCTCCCCAGCTAGAGGAGCCCAGATACTCTGATGGATCTGAGGCCCTGCTCGCTGCTCCTGCTCTGGACTCTGGTGGTTGCCCTCGCGCTCCTGGCCCGGGAGGTGCTGGCCCAGCATATATACATCAACACCTGGGCCGTGCTCGTCCCCGCAGGGCCCCAGGAGGCTGACAGGCTGGCCAGGAAGCATGGATTCCTCAACCTGGGCCCGGTAAGTCCTCCACTTCCCTCTCCTCGTGGAAGCAGTGTCCTCTGCCGGCTCTGCCGCAGTCTGGGCGGGCGCTGGGCTTGGCCCTGGAGCCAGCTTGGGGGCTGCTCTTTCTGGCAGCAGGGCCACTGTGTTTGCACCTATTCACTGCAGCCTTCCAGCATCCGCTGCGTTGACTCAAGGGTGGTAATTAGCTGGATGGAGCTGGGGCCTTCCCCCGCCAGTGGGACGGTCTGGTGGCATGGCACGGCACGGCGTGGCACGCTCTCCCTGCTGGAGGGGGAAGGAGGAAAAGTCCATCCCAGCATGAGAAAACTGGGAGTGCTGTGCGTTGGTGGAGGAGGGGCGGGCTCCCGGTTCCCGACAGTGCTCCCCGCAGCAAGTTGCCCCAGTGTGGCACGGCCTCGGCTCAGCCAGGGCAGCAGCAGCACCTCCTGGGTGTCTCCAGAGCCCGCAGTCTGACAGCAGCTGCGTGTCCTTGGCCCTAAGCTGCCCTTCACAGGTATGTCAGCAGGTCCCCACTGCTCTCTGCTTTCTCTGCCCTCAGCCAGTGGAGGGACGGGGCAGCGCATGCAGCTGTGCTGGGCCAGCACCTCTGTCACCCCCCTGGCAGCGGGGCGAGGAGAACGAGGTGATGGCGAAGGAACCAGGGCCCCTTGTGTTCCCCGCGGTCCCAGCTGTTCCCGGCCTTGTCCCCAGCACGAGGAGCTCTGCGGTGCTCTCCTCCCGGCAGCCTTGGCAGGGCCCAGCTCCCCTGTGCTCCAGGCCCCAGGCAGACAGTTCTGCTTTCCCTGGCCAGCTGTGGGCCTTGCGCTCGTTGGTAGCTAGGGTGCTCACAGGTCTGGCTCCCAAGGCATCGGTGTGAAAGCTGGGCCTTGGCCGAGAGCCATGGGGCTGGGTGGGCCAGTGGCTGGGCTCCTGCTTG